AGCTTTAATAAAGACAAATACGGCTACGATAACGTCTTTATAATAATCGACCGCTTCTTTAAGCAAGTAATCTCGATCTTTTATTATAAGTCTATCGACGTTAAAAGCCTCGCTAAGCTTTATATCTATTATATTTATAAGTATTTTAAAGCTTTTTTAATATTGACTTTTAATAAAAGACTTTAATACTAGTCCGAGTTTTAGAAAGAATTTAATAAGATCTTCGATATTAAATTGACTTTTAATACCGCCGTATACTTTAAGACTAACGGTTAAACCGAAATCTATAATTAATACTTGCAAAAGCGCTTCCGTCTTTTCGTAAGCTATTATTAAGACGATTAAAGCGAGTTTTTTTTTATAATAGACTTCGCTTAATTGACGCTCTTTTACGATTCTTTCGGCGGTCTTTTTCTTTTTAAAGTAATTTACGGCTACGCTTTTCGAACCACTTAGAATTAAAGCTTAAAACGATCTAACGATTAAACCTTTTTTCGCAAGCTTAATTAAAACGAAGCTCGCGCTTACGCTAACCGTTACTTCGAAGCTTAGAACCTCGTTAAAAAGCACTTTTAGCGCGCTTAAGACCGCATAGCTAAACAAGCTAATAAATTAAAGCGCTCGATTAACTTCGACGTTAATAATAAAGTTTAATTGAATATGCGCTCGTTCCTTACCTTTCGACTATTAAAAAAGCTTAATAACTTTACGAACGGACCGTTCGAAGTTATCGATAACGTTTATAACAGCTTTAAACTTAAGCTTTTCGAGTTAATAAAAGTTCACTTAATCTTTTACTTCGAACGGCTACGAAAAGCTTTTAATAACTTTACTTTCGGCTAAATTATTCTTAAACTTAACTCGATTAATATTATTAACGAACTCAAATACGAAGTAAAGAATATCTTAGCCGTACGCTAAACTAAGAAGCACTTTAAATACCGCGCTTCTGAGCTCGGCCGCGATATTAACTTTACTTAATACCCCGCTTTCGATTTTATATACGCTTTTTTTAAAATACGTGATTTTTATTTAAAATATAAAAAGCTCTTCGGCTTTCTCGCGAAGCTTTTCGAATAGATTAAAGCTTATTCGAACGGTATTAATAATTACGATTACTTAAGCAATAATAAAGCAATAAATAAACGCTTAAAGACGAGCTTTTTTCGAACGGAAAAGTAGTATGACGATACGCTAAGTCTTTTAAACGCACTTTATATAAGCTAAGCTACTTTTTTCTTTTTTTCTTTCGTATTTTTCGTATTTTTTTATTCTTCGCTTTTAACTTATAAACTATAGTTTACGAGTCTTTAACGCTTTTACTTTCGTATATATAGACCTTAGCTACCTTCGACCTTTATACTTAGTAATTGTTGATTTTAAGTTATTACTTTGAGATTCTCTTAAGCTCTTATATGAACCCTCGCGCTCCCGTAAGTTCTTTCAGGTAATCGCTTAAGGTCGTCACAGACTGCTAAGTAATTGAAAAAAAAAAATTATTTGCTTATTAATCAACGTTTTCCGGGACGGTTTCAAGTTCGGAGACGGCCTTAGGACGGCCTTAGGACGGCCACAAGACGGTCTTAAAACGGTCTTTTTATAAAAAGACCGACTTTTATAAATGATTATTTAATCGATTAAAACCGTCTTATTTTAGTAATAATCTTTTTATAAAAAAACGAGCTTTTATAAAAAACGATTCAATCGATTGAAATAGTTTTATTTTAGCTACGATTTAAATAATTTAAATCATTTGTTTTCAAATTCTATTTAATTTTAAGTATCGGCCTAAGGTTATCCACTAGCTATGCCAACCTCTTAGAATCGTCTCTTAAAAAGACTGTCATCGGATTGTTAGCTGACGGTTTAAATGACCCCCTACCTGCCTTTAAGGTATAATTAGTAAATATGATTAGTAAATATGATTAGTAAATATGATTAGTAAATATAATTAGTAAATGTG